CGGTGTGTTTGGGATCATTGTCATGCTGAAAGACCCAGCCACGTTTCATCTTCAATGCCCTTGCTGATGGAAGGAGGTTTTCACTCAAAATCTCACGGTACATGGCCCCATTCATTCTTTCCTTTACACGGATCAGTCGTCCTGGTCCCTTTGCAGAAAAACAGCCCCAAAGCATGATGTTTCCACCCCCATGCTTCACAGTAGGTATGGTGTTCTTTGGATGCAACTCAGCATTCTTTGTCCTCCAAACACGACGAGTTGAGTTTTTACCAAAAAGTTATATTTTGGTTTCATCTGACCATATGACATTCTCCCAATCCTCTTCTGGATCACCCAAATGCACTCGAGCAAACTTCAGACGGGCCTGGACATGTACTGGCTTAAGCAGGGGGACACGTCTTGCACTGCAGGATTTGAGTCCCTGGCGGCGTAGTGTGTTACTGATGTTAGGCTTTGTTACTTTGGTCCCAGCTCTCTGCAGGTCATTCACTAGGTCCCCCCGTGTGGTTTCTGGGATTTTTACTCACCGTTCTTGTGATAATTTTGACCCCACGGGGGGGATCTTGGTGGCCAAAAGATGAGGGTAGAAAACACAGCAGATTTATAGGGTACCCCACTGGGCTTGGGGCTTGGGCCGCATCGATGGAAAATCTGTGGAAAAAGGACGGCTGGGAAAGCAATGCGATTGCACAGCATGGCAAAAATGGGGACATCTATCAAATGATTCGAACCTACAGGAACTCCTACTGATTCCTTTCTGTGTGGAGGAGAGAAGAAGCGTTCAATCTGTTTACTTCAGTGATGGATTTGCTGATTCTCTTGGATGACCGTAAATGGGTATATTCAGGCTCTAGTTTGGTCAGACATTTGGTTTGATTTTGAATTGTAAAAGCACCACAGTGTATTTTTAGTTTACTCAAAAATAAACACTTATCTCATACACCATTGGCTAAGTAGTGTAATGTCTTTTCATCTTTAATATTTAAGTTACAAAGACATTTATAACAATATTTAAAAGACATTGCATATAAAAAACAGAGATGATATTTACATAATATCAATTGGCACAACGTAACAGGGCAACAGCCACTATTTCATGTTGATAATAAAAATCTGCACAAAACACTTTTACAGGCTTCGCTAGCGCAGTTTAAGGTCACACTATCTGGCAAGATACGTTTTAGCTCTCAGTCACCAATGCAAAAGACTTGGAAAATCTTCTAAAGAGAAAATCTTAAGTATTGCCTGATTGATTTAAAGGGGACACATGTTCTAGCCTAAAGGATACTTTGGGATTTTGGCAGATGGGCCCTTTATCTACTCCCCAGTCTAGATGAACTCGTGGCATCCCTTTTTTATGTCGTGCGTCCCCAGTATGAAGGAATTGAGGAATATTCGCGAGCCAATTGAAGTAGCATTAGGCACGACTGGACGTTCTTGGTGGGTATTCTGCTAGCATGCTAGTAGCGAAATCTTACCTCAAACTTCCTTCATACTGGACACAGAGACATAAAATGGTCTACAAGTTCCTCTGACTCTGGGGAAGTAGAGATAAAGGGCCTCATGCCAAATCAAACTATCCCTTAAGTTCTACCCATAAATAGGGCCTGTGTTTTGAGCAATCCTGTCACTGACCTGGATTCTAACCTTATTTAAAGCTTTTTCTCACAATCCCCTTTTTCTGTTCATTTCGAGGTCCAGCCACCCCTCCCTCAGACAATTGATTTTTGTTCAATTCTCATGTTCTGGGATAAAGCTTAACATTACAGGATAAAATCTTGCCCATGATGTGGAAAAACACAAGTCCACCCTAAAACAAAAAGAAATGTAATTTATTAAACGCGCACAGCACGTAGACACAGTAGGTAAAATTTTGCTCTCGAATCCACACTCCACCTTTTCCTCTTGGCCTTTGGCTGGATTCCTTACTGAGGAGAGAGGGAGGCGTGGCAGACCGGTCTCCTCTTGTCGGGCGGTTCGCCTATAACAAATCATAAAAGCCTGGGAGACCAATAACACTGTATTTGCTACCTCTGCATTTTCTCAGCCGGCAAGGCGGCCACACCGCCAATAGAGAGTGATGGATGACAAACATGTCACAGACACTGTATAAAACAACCAGGGGTATGGTGTCACGAGAACGGAAAACATTAAAAACAGTGGTGAGAAAGCGACTCCCGAAGAAGCATCCTGTGTGGCTCAGTTTGGGAGAGCATGGCGCTTGCGATGCCAGGGTTGGGGTTCGATTCCCATAGGGGTCCCAGTATGAAAACGTATGCACTCACTACTGTAAACCCTCTGCATAAAAGTGTGTGACCAAATGTTAATGTGGTATCAGTAACTAATGGTGTACCACATGAAGTAAGTAATTCATTGTTGCCTCTCACTAAAACTGTAAGACATAATCAAGTTATAAGTCATAGAATTTACAGTACAGCTCCCAAAGCCTAGTCCAAACAAAGTGCTGTGGGTAGCTTACTGTAACCGTGTGGAAAGTCCAGATATTTTTAATCATCTGAAAATTTGAAGCCAAAATAGACCTTTAATTAACGTTAATCCTTTTTTAAGGTTTGAGGAAATAACTTTTCCCACAAACAGAAACTCCACCTCATGCAAAGCGTTACTGCGTTTGTATGATGGGCACCAGGCTCTCTTTCTAACAGTGGGGAAAAAAAGTATTTAGTCAGCCACCAATTGTGCAGTTCTCCCACTTAAAAAGATGAGAGAGGCCTGTAATTTTCATCATAGGTACACGTCAACTATGACAGACAAAATGAGATTTTTTTCTCTCCAGAAAATCACATTGTAGGATGTTTAATGAATTTATGTGCAAATTATGGTGGAAAATAAGTATTTGGTCAATAACAAAAGTTTCTCAATACTTTGTTATATACCCTTTGTTGGCAATGACACAGTCAAAACGTTTTCTGTAAATCTTCACAAGGTTTTCACACACTGTTGCTGGTATTTTGGGCCCATTCCTCCTTGCAGATCTCCTCTAGAGCAGTGATGTTTTGGGGGCTTGTCACTGGGCAACACGGACTTTCAACTCCCTCCAAAAGATTTCTATGGGGTTGAGATCTGGAGACTGGCTAGGGCCACTCCATGGACCTTGAAATGCTTCTTACGAAGCCACTCCTTCGTTGCTCCGGGCGGTGTGTTTTGGGATCATTGTCATGCTGAAAGACCCAGCCACGGTTCATCTCCAATGCCCTTGCTGATGGAAGGAGGTTTTCACTCAAAATCTCACGGTACATGGCCCCATTCATTCTTTCCTTTACACGGATCCAGTCGTCCTGGTCCCTTTGCAGAAAAACAGCCCCAAAGCTGATGTTTCCACCCCCCATGCTTCACAGTAGGTATTGGTGTTCTTTGGATGCAACTCAGCATTCTTTGTCCTCCAAACACGACGAGTTGAGTTTTTAACCAAAAAGTTATATTTTGGTTTCATCTGACCATATGACATTCTCCCCAATCCTCTTCTGGATCACCCAAATGCACTCGAGCAAACTTCAGACGGGCCTGGACATGTACTGGCTTAAGCAGGGGGACACGTCTTGCACTGCAGGATTTGAGTCCCTGGCGGCGTAGTGTGTTACTGATGTTAGGCTTTGTTACTTTGGTCCCAGCTCTCTGCAGGTCATTCACTAGGTCCCCCCCGTGTGGTTCTGGGATTTTTACTCACCGTTCTTGTGATAATTTTGACCCCACGGGGTGAGATCTTGCGTGGAGCCACAGATCGAGGGAGATTATCAGTGGTCTTGTATGTCTTCCATTTCCTAATAATTGCTCCCACAGTTGATTTCTTCAAACCAAGCTGCTTACCTATTGCAGATTCAGTCTTCCCAGCCTGGTGCAGGTCTACAATTTTGTTTCTGGTGTCCTTTGACAGCTCTTTGGTCTTGGCCATAGTGGAGTTTGGAGTGTGACTGTTTGAGGTTGTGGGACAGGTGTCTTTTATACTGATAACAAGTTCAAACAGGTGCCATTAATACAGGTAACGAGTGGAGGACAGAGGAGCCTCTTAAAGAAGAAGTTACAGGTCTGTGAGAGCCAGAAATCTTGCTTGTTTGTAGGTGACCAAATACTTATTTTCCACCATAATTTGCAAATAAATTCATAAAAAATCCTACAATGTGATTTTCTGGATTTTTTAAAATCAATTTGTCTGTCATAGTTGACGTGTACCTATGATGAAAATTACAGGCCTCTCTCATCTTTTTAAGTGTGAGAACATGCACAATTGGTGGCTGACTAAATACTTTTTTTCCCCACTGTATTTTGGTAAAAATACTTTCCACATACTAGACATAAAAGCATGAGCAGTGCCTATGTCATCTGTTCCACTATACATGCTATTATATTAACCTACAGGCGTAACATTTCACACATGTTCACTGTCTAACAACCATGTTCGCTAAAAAAATAAATACTATTTATATGTACATATGTGTCAAACATACAACATGGGGTACTGACTCACAAAAGTGTGAAAACATAAAAGCATCAAAACGTTAAAGCAGACAAATCCTCATAGAAGCTGGTGTCAGTCTGTTGTTCTTCAATTCTTCCTCATCACTGGAAAATATTGCAGCTTTTACAATAGCCTATAGCCTACTGACGAGTCCAAACATGCCACAACACATTTCTAGGTTTACAGTTTCTCCTCCTTCTGTCCCTGTGCAGAAGAGTAGTAGGGGGAGAATGATGTAATGTCATACTGTGATATTTATTATGTTTGATCCTTCAAGATTGACAGCCATATTGCGTGTGTTTCAGAAGCTGTATCAGTGTCAAGTGCTCATTTTATTGAGGCCCTGCATAACGATGAAAGATAATCACAACTGGTTTCCTTTAGAATGAAAAGGGAAATAAATTGTCCAAAACTGCAGTGAGTACTATTTCCATAGGGTGTATATTAAAGCATATCAGTAGTTGGATCAGACCTTCAACTGTTAAAGAAAATGTTATAGATATATATCAGTGTCTCTCTCCACTTCTCAAACATAGCTGAAGATGAGCAGGGTGAAGGAGAGGAGGCAGGATGTTAGTGTGTAGCACTGTGAGAGCCCTGTGGTGCCACTGAGGGGCGAGGTGGTGGCAAACACAGCCTCTGTCACGTTCCAGGGCAGAGGAAGGTTACAGATATTCCCCTCACAGCACGCTGTACAGACCTAAGGAGACAAGTAGAAACATTAGATACAACACTTGTTTCCGTTCTCTCTCTCTCTCTCTCTCTCTGTCTCGGCTCGGCTCTGTCTCTCTCCTCGCTCTTCTCTCTCTCTATCTCTGATCTCTCCTAGTCGCTTTCTCCTCTCTACTCTCCTATCAGCTTCTCTCAGATTCTCTCGCTCTCTCTCTCTCTCTCTCTCTCTCTCTCTCTCTCTCTCTCTCTCTCAGCTCTCTCAGCTCTCTAGGGGAATCAATAGCAGTTTTCCTGTCATTTTTACTAACAGACATATGGCCTTTAGTATAGCCTTCGACAGACATAGCCTATAGTCTTGAATATGGCGTTTACTTCTAAAGGGAAAGCTCCTTTTGAAGTATTTCACACATCCTTTCATAGAGTTAATGTCCAACTTTTATATAAGGGTCAAGCTCTATCTCTTCCTGTTGCAGGCTTCTCTCTCTCTCTCTCTCTCTCTCTCTCTCTCTCTCTCTCTCTCTCTCTCTCTCTCTCTCTCTCTCTCTCTCTCTCTCGTTGTGAGGACACACCTTTCATCAGGGAATGGCAGCGTACTGAAAGAGCAGTTTCAACTCTTCTCTTGATCTTATTTGGAGGAACTCAAAAGCACCGTTAAGTGGTGGTGACTGGGACAGGGCCGTAACATAAAGCCATGTTCACATAGTCTGACCCTGGCTCTGACCCCACTCCAGCTTTGACCGCAACCATAGCTTGAGATCCGGCCATAAACTTTACCCTGTTGGAGGCACTTTACCCGGTTGGAGGCACTGTCTATGCAGTGGTGTAAAGTACTTAAGTAAATATACTTGAAAGTACTACTTAAGTCGTTTTTGGGGTATCTGTAATTGACTTTACTATTTATATATTTGACAACCTTTACTTTTACTTCACTACATTCCTAAAGAAAATGATGTATTTTTTACTCCATACATTTTCCTTGACACCCAAAAGTACTTGTTACATTTTGAATGCTTAGCAGGACAGGAAAATGGTCCAATTCACACACTAATCAAGAGAACATCCCTGGTCATGCCTACTGCCTCTGATCTATACACCTGAGTGGCGCAGTGGTCTAAGGCACTGCATCGCAGTGCTAACTGTGCCACTAGAGATCCTGGTTCGAATCCAGGCTCTGTCACAGCCGGCCGCGACCGGGAGACTCATGGGCGGCGCACAATTGGCCCAGCGTCGTCCAGGGTAGGGGAGGGAATGGCCGGCAGGGATGTAGCTCAGTTGATAGAGCATGGCGTTTGCAACGCCAGGGTTGTGGGTTCGTTTCCCACGGGGGGCCAGTATAAAAAAAAAAAAATGTATTCACTAAACTGTAAGTCGCTCTGGATAAGAGCGTCTGCTAAATGACTAAAATGTAAATCTGACGGACACTAAACACACATGCTTCATTTGTAAATTTTGTCTGAGTGTTGGAGTGTGCCCCTGGCTATCCATAAAAAAGAAAGAAAATGGTGCCGTCTGGTTTGCTTAATATAAGGAATGTTGTATTATTTATACTTTTACTTTTGATACTTAAGTATATTTTAGCAATTATATTTTATTTTGATACGTAAGTATATGTAAAACCAAATACTTTTACTCAAGTAGTATTTTACTGGGTGACTGTCACTTGAGTAATTTTCTATGAAGGTATCTTTACTTTTACACCAGTATGACAATTGAGTACTTTTTCCACCACTGTGTCTATGTCATGACTGAAAAATTCCAAGTCAGAAAATGCCATGCCCAAAGTCAACCACAATAATTTTGCCAGAGAAACCCCTACCCCATGTCATTCCATTCTAACCTCCCAACACCAGGCCAAACCATTCCCGTCTTCCCATCTTGAATCTAACCTCCCAACACTATTCCACTTTTTGAATACACCACTCCTCACCCTGGTTCCTTCATGGTCTTCTTCAGAGCATCCAGTAGAGAGGCAGTCTCCCAAAGCCACACACCGCTTTGTCACAGAGACACTGTCCCCCTCCACGTCCATCTTGTGCCGCGTGTAACAATATCTGGCCTCTGGTGAGAATAATAAATATAGTAAATAAGATATATTGACCTGGTAGCTACACTACCACTTTTTGGTTAGCAGGGATGGATAATGAGTTAATTTAGCTTAACGAGGGAGTAAGAATTGAGAGAAAAACAGTTATTTTCTGTTCAGAGGTTGTGGGGTAAAAACACTATAGGCTAACTACATCTGACCCTTTCTTGAATTGAAGCCTCTGCCATACGGTATCTGAATTGAAGCCTCTGCCATACGGTATCTGAATTGACGCCCCTGCCATACGGTATCTGACCTCCCGAGTGGCGCAGTGGTCTAAGGCACTGCATTGCAGTGCTAGCTGTGCCACTAAAGATCCTGGTTCGAATCCAGGCTCTGTCGTAGCCGGCCGCGACTGGGAGACCCGTAGGGCGGTGCACAATTGGCCCAGGGTAGGGGAGGGAATGGCCGGCAGGGATATAGCTCAGTTGGTAGAGCATGGTGTTTCCAACGCCATGGTTGTGGGTTTGATTCCCATGGGGGGCCAGTATAAAAAAAAAAATATGTATGCACTCACTAACTGTAAGTTGCTCTGGATAAGAGTGTCTGCTAAATGACTAAAATGTAATGTATCTGAATTGTTGCCCCTGCCATACGGTATATGAATTGAAGCCTCTGCCATACGGTATCTGAATTGAAGCCTCTGATATACTCCAAAGTGATACATGACTGTATGTCACCTTTAGTATTAAAACCTGGAGGAAATGCCAACTGTACCATGTTACAGAGTGCATTCCAGGCAGTTTTGGTCAAGCACTGCATCTCTCTATCCAACGATCTATGAGGTTGTTACTCATACAAAGAATGTGTATTTTCTAGGGCTAGGCCAAAGTAACTTATTAGTCATTAAGCGAGTGCTGTAAATCTGCTCGATGGTGGTCGCGCCATGCTAACTCTCTTTATGAGGTTAGCTATTTATGAGTTAAACATGTCAACAGGGTGACATTATACTCAATAATACCCAGGTACAGAGGCCTCCAATGAGCAAACAGAGCGGTAATTTACAACTTTGTTGGAAGCACTCTGAGAAGGAAAGAAGGCCTAATCTAAATACAAAGTAAAAGTAGGTCTATGAGAGCGGAGGGAGTGTTGAATTTACACATTGAGTATTACTTCCTGAGTAGAGCTTGAAGTCATATTGTAATTATCAACAGTGCTGAGAAGAACAATGGTTTGTCCTAGTGGTCTGACTCACCTTGTGGGCAGTACAGGTCTGGCGCCCAGCGATTACACTCATAGTTGTCAGGTGCTTCTTCACAGGTGAAGCACTTGAACCCGCCTGGGAATGGAGTGGCTGCAGAAACATACACACACTCAGAAGGGGTCATGCACAGGGCACTGGGACAGCCATAACGAATCACCCTAACAGACATAGCCAACAACATATTCAGCCTTGAATAAGCTATACACTGAGTGTACAAAACATTAGGAACACCTGCTCTTTCCATGATCGACAAACCAGGTGAATCCAGGTTATCCCTTATTGATGTAACTTGTTAAATCCACCTCAGTGTAGATGAACGGGAGGAAATAGGGTAAAGAATAATTTTTAAACTTTGAGACAGTTGAGACATGGATTGTGTATATGTGCCATTCAGGGGGTGAATGGGCAAGACAAAAGATTGAAGTGCCTTTGAACGGACTATGGTAGTAGGTGTCAGGCGCAACTCAATAGCAGGAAGGTTTTCCTAATGTTTTGTACACTCAGTGTATACAGAGGTTCTGAAACGTCAAATAACATTAGCAAGTTCATACCATAAACTGTGTTAATAATATTCGTTTATGAAATCTGGACAGAAAAATCTGGAACATCTGGATAAATAAGATGAATAAAAAAGTTTGGAATGCATAGAAGGCCTTATTTTGGATTGATTTAATACGCTTATAATATGGACTCTGAGATACCATTGTCTGGGGGAACTCAGTCCTTCCGAACATATAGTTGTAATCTATCTCTCCCTATAGCTGTTATCACCAGCCAAGCCATTTATCTCTCTCACACAATAGTTCTGATATAAACCTATAGTGTCAAGTACAGTTTAACCCATCATGCACTCTGCTAATCCAGTAAAACACTAAAACTCAGAGCATTTAGCATAGTTGTTCCCTTCCCTTCTCAATTCATGGCCTCCAGAGGTTGGAAAATGTCCATGGAGGCCATCTGTTGTGATCAAACTGACGAGGAGGCTGTTAGTCTTTCCAATTTCGCACCATTACATTAATCTGATTGGCCAGTGACAGCTGAAGGTCTGCAGGGCAGGCAAACTTCACAAAGTATGTTGCCAATCACCATTGCTATGTCTCAAATGACACCCTATTCCTCATGTAGTGCACTATGTAGCCCAGGGGGCTCTGATCAAAAGTAGTGCAGTTTATAGGGAATAGGGTGCCCTTTGGCTAGCTAGCTAGACCATGATACCGCCTTGCCATGGCTAGCTAGACCATGATACCGCCTCGCCCTGGCTAGCTAGCTAGACCATGATACCGCCTCGCCCTGGCTAGCTAGCTAGACCATGATACCGCCTCGCCCTGGCTAGCTAGCTAGACCATGATACCGCCTCGGCATGGCTAGCTAGCTAGACCATGATACCGCCTCGCCATTGCTAGCTAGCTAGACTCCTCCTTCATCTCCCCAGGAACAGGAAGTCTGGTTAGTTACCATACCACTTCCTTGCAGCCCTCACACTCTCTCTCTCACACACACACACACACACACACACACACACACACACACACACACAGACAACTACACAACTACACAAACACCCTGCCACATTTACACACACACACAGAGAGAGACACACACAACTACACAAACACACTGCCACATGTACACACACACACACACACACACACACACACACACACACACAGAGAGACACACACAACTACACAAACACCCTGCCACATGCTCACACGTGTACATAGACACAGGCACTCACGCACACACACAGTTACCCGCACAAGCCAACTCACTTGCATACACACACACACACACACACTAGAGGGTTGGCCTCGAGCTGACACAGATATCTCCCGCAGTATCCCGGAAACCTGATCCTGGGAGTTCTGCCTTTCTGTGATGAAAGAGACACAGATCTTAAGAGTTTTCTTTCTGGCTATGCGGGGGCCTGTTTCTGAGACGTGGGAGGGCTGACCTCTAACATGCCCACCTCCTGGGGAGAGTTGGGGTTGTTTCAGACCCTAATCTGGAGGCTTATACCTAGCATATGTCCTTATCAGAGGCCTACAGTATAGTGACCCAGCCTGTTGTTGTACACTGACTGGGGGTGAGGGGAGTGCCGGGGGGAGAAAGAGAGAGAGAGTGGAGAGAGAGACAAAGGGACAGAGTGAGAGAGGGAGAGAGAGAGAGGAGAGATGAGAGAGAGAAGACTGAGGAGATAGAGAGACGGAGAGAGAGAAGAGAGAGAGATGGAGGATGAAGAGATCTGGATCTCAGGACGGTGTGAGCAGACGATTGAGAGTGCGGAGGAGACGATGTGAGAGAGAATGGGATGGGAGGCGGTGAGACGCGAATGATGAGAGGAGAAAGACGGGAGAGACGAGAGGGAGAGGAGAGCAGAGAGAGAGCGGAGAGAGACAGAGAGAGGAGAGGAGAGAGAGGAGAGGGAGGAGAGAGAGAGGAAGATGAGGGGAAGGAGAGAGACGAGAGAGAGCGTAGAGGAGAGAGAGGGAGGAGAGAGAGAGAGGAGAGAGAGCGGAGAGAGAGGAGCGGGAGAGGGAGAGAGAGATGAGAGGAGAGAGACTAGAGAGTGAGAGAGAGAGAGGAGAGAGAGAGGCAGAGAGAGAGAAGAGAGTGGAGAGAGAGAGAGAGACTAGAGAACATGAGAAAGAGAGAGCGTGAGAGGGAGAGGAGGAGAGAAAGAGAGGAGAGAGGGCAGAGAAGGAGGGAGAGAGAGAGACGAGAGAGAGAGAGACGAGAGAATGTAAAGTCGTGGCTTGAGAGAAACAGGACAGGATGTAGACGATGAGGAAAAAGTAGAGGAGCATGTGGGCATGAGGAAAAAGGAGCACAGAGCAAAGGAAAAATGAATTTAACCAAGGGGTTTGTTGGTCATCATTGTCACATTGCTGGTTCATGCCACTAGAATTCTAATCTACATGACAGTCGCTCGCTGTTAGAATCGTCTTTGATTTGTTGATAATAAAAGTCATAAAAGTCATACACTGTAAGAAACAAAGCTACAGTGCAGTAAAAAAGTATTTGCCCCCTTTCTGATTTTCTCTACTTTTGCATATTTTTTTATCTGAATGTTATCAGATCTTCAACCAAAACCTAATATTAGATAAAGGGAACCTGAGTTTAGAAATAACAACAACAAAAAAAGATACTTATTTTATTTATTCAATAAACAAAGTTATGCAATTCCCCTGTGTGAAAAAGTAATTGCCCCCTTACACTCAATATCTGGTTGTGCCACCTTTAGCTGCAATGACTGCAACCAAATGCTTCCTGTAGTTGTTGATCAGTCTCTCATATCGCTGTGGAGGAATTTCGGCCCACTCTTCCATGGAGAACTGCTTTAACCTCAGCTACATTTGTGGGTTTTCAAGCATGAACTGCTTGTTTCAATTTTGATTAGGTCTGGACATTGACTAGGCCATTCCAAAACTTCAAATTTGTTGTATTTTAACCATTTTCATGTAGACTTGATTGTGTGTTTTGGATCATTGTCTTGCTGCATGACCCAGTTGCGCTTCAGCTTCAGCTCACAGTCGAATGGCCTGACATTCTCCTGTAGAATTCTCTGATACAGAGCAGAATTCATGGTTCCTCCTATTAAGGCAAGTTGTCCAGGTCCTGAGGCAGCAAAGCATCCGGAAACAATCACACTACCACCACCATGCTTGACCGTTGGTATGAGGTTTTTTACTATGGAATGCAGTGTTTTGTTTTCGCCAGACATAATGGGACCCATCTTGTCCTGGAAGCACCTGGATGATCATCATACATACACACATACATACACATACATATCCTTTAAAAAAAAGATATATCATCAAGACTCTTGGAAGAATGTTCTAGGGACAGATGAGTCAAAAGTATACCTTTTTGGACGACATGGAAACATGAAACAGACATCAATAACATATAGATGCTAATATACAGTGGGTCTTACAGCTACGATGTAGTGTAGTTTCTATCGTGGGGGGCTGAGTGGAAATGTTGCTAATGTGTGGATGAGACTAAAGAGAGCAGATGGCAGAAAGCAGTGACAACATGGGTGACTGTTGGGCTTCAGACTGCCCAGTAGCTATGCATGGAGTCACGTGACCCCCCACACCTCAGATCAAAGAGCTGTGCCTGGTGGTGCAGAGGGGTGGGGGGTGGAGAGGGGTGCAGAGGGGTGTGGCGGGGTGCAGAAGGGTGTGGCGGGGTGCAGAGAGGTGGAGAGGGGTGCAGAGGGGTGGGGGTGGAGAGGGGTGCAGAGGGGTGGGGGGTGGAGAGGGTGGGGAGGGACTGTCTGGATACCCATAACTGCTATGCATGCATAGCATAACCTCTGACCTACTTTTTCATAACTCTTAACGAGATTCTCTGGTACTTTTGTTGACTTTTTAGCCAGTAGTCCTGAAAGTAGGCTCACGAGCCTAAAGTGGTCTCCGGAAATTGCGTACTACGTCACATACACTGAGTATACAAAACATTAAGATGCTCTTTCCATGACATAGACTGACCAGGTGAATCCAGGTGAAAGCTATGATCCCTTATTGATGTCACTTGTTAAATCCACTCCAATCAATGTAGATGAAGGGGAGGAGACAGGTTAAAGAAGGATTTTTAAGCCTTGAGACAATTGAGACATGGATTGTGTATGTGTGCCATTCAGAGGGTGAATGTGCAAGATAAAAGATTTAAGTGCCTTTGAACGGGGTATGGTAGTAGGTGCCCAGGCGCACCAGTTTGTGTCAAGAACTGCAATGTTGCTGGGTTTTTCACGCTCAACAGTTTGTATCAAGAATGGTCCATGCCCCGACGAATTGAGGCTGTTCTGAGGGCAAAAGGGGGTGCAACTCAATATTAGGAAAGTGTTCCTAATGTTTAGTACACGCAGTGTATGTGGAGATATGTGCACCACGTCATTGCTCTCTCTCTCGCTCTGCTGTGTGTGCATCTCGCTAGCTGTCACTCAAATGGCGAGGGACTGAAGCTCATTGGCTGAAACTCAAGTTGCTAGGGGGCTTGCCCACCTGGGGATACATTTTGGGAAAATGGCGTTGCACAGCTTCCAGAAAAAACAGTTACTTTCAAAGTAGGGATTTCATGACTAATTGAGGTAAGACAGTAATTCTGCTCATAGATTCTGCATGTATGAACTACACATTGACACATCCAGCCCAAAGAAGTTTAAAGAATACTAGTCGCCAAAGTTCCGGAGCATGTCTTTAAGGGTAAGTCAAAATTGGAATTGAGCAGTCTATTAAAGTTTGGGATAAGCAGCAATTACGGGGGTTGTAATAAGCAAAAGGGGGGGCTTATTACAACCCCCGTAATTGCTTCTTATCCCAAACTTATTCCAATTTTGACAGACACACAGAGAGAGAGAGAGAGAGAGAGAGAGAGAGAGAGAGAGAGAGAGAGAGAGAGAGAGAGAGAGAGAGAGAGTGTGTGTGAGAAAGAGAGTGGCCTCTCCTCTCCTCCATTAGAGATGTCCTGGTTCTACAGAGGCCTGAGGGGCTGAAGGACACAAGTTTATAAGGCTTACACATTCTCAGACAGGCAGAGCTGAGCTTCATGAAGTCATGGATGCTGCTGGGGCAGTGGGTTAACAGTTGTGGTGTGACAGTGACTGACCATATCATTTTTATCACACCCAGTCACTGGGATAATAGTGGCTGTAGCATCATTGATTATGGTGGCAGAAGTGGGATCTCTGGCTGCAATGATAGGTGCTGACTGATCTTCTAGACGTCCGTATCGTATCAGACTAAACCCTGCCATTTTCATAACTTGTCCCAATAGTTTAATACATTTAGTACCAACACAAACAGGTGATTTTGAGATGCCAATTCCATGCAAGTCAGCTGCATTGGGGACACTGTCCATTACACTATCAAATACTCTTGTTCATATAATAATAAAAACAGACTATTACTTGAGGGATGGAGGTAGATGATATCCTGTTCTGTGAAGTCCTTTGATTGGGCCGTTTTCATCCAATCAGCGAGGGCCATCAGCAGTAGGACCCAGGCCACTGCAGGCCAGGGTTCCATTGCTGGCCGCGGCTTCACACATGCAGGTCTCTGATTGGACAACCACACGATGACACCTGCAGAGGAAAGGAGAGCCCACATGTAACCCAATTAGTTAAAATACCTGTTTTAGTCTATATTAAATCATGCTTAATTTTGCACAATGAAAAAAGTCCATTGTCAAAAACACTATCCCTTTGGATATCTGATCAAGGCATCCTGACTGCCTTTCTCAACTACCTGCCATGGAACAGTGACCATGGGTGTCTCCAGCCCTACGGGAAAACACAGAGGAAAGCCACTGGACATCCACCAGACCAGAAACAACAGAGCAGTGTTCCTCATTACAGCTGCGTCCAAAATGGAATCCTTTTCCCTATGTAGTGCACTACTTTTGACCAGGGCCCATTTGGCTCTAGTCAAAAGTAGTGCACTGCATAGGGAATAGGGTGCCAATTGGGACACAACCTACATCTATTATCCAGTCAAACATCTCCTCGTTAGATCAATGACAGTCAGTCTGCCAGGGACCAAACTCTCATGCATCATCAGCCCTCATGCAGTCTTCATTCTGATCCAGCTCAGTCTTTGTACAGTGAGGCATCAGTAACAGAGCTAGACATGGATAAACAGTTGGGGTAGTAATGAACAGCGGATGCACGCAACAATGTCTTGCAGGCCCGATGATGTCACAGATGATTCCTAACATATTTCCAATACAATATTTCAAGGTATCAATTGAGGAGAGTCAAATCATGGGTACACTAAAGACACACCCCACTACAGAAAGTCCTCTTTTCAGAGTGTGGAGGGCGCCGCGTTGATTATTTATGATACTAGTTACTGACTTGCCTTTCTTCAATGAGGGGATAAATAAACTTAAATAAATAAACTTGTATTGAATTGAAATGAACAGGCCTTCAGTGAGGTTTTGTAGCAATGCCATGTCAAATATATAATTTAAGCCTAAATAAGTTCAGGAGTAAAAATGTCCTTAACAAATTGCAAAATAAGTTGCTTGGACTCAATCCGTGTTCAATAATAGTGGTTAACATGATGACTACCCCATCTCTGTACCCCACACATATAATGAGCTGTGAGGTTCCTCAATCGAGTAGTGAATTTGAAGCACAGATTCAAGCACAAAGATCAGGGATGTTTTTCAATGTCTTGCAAAGAAGGAGGGCACCTATTGGTAGATGGGTAAAAAAAAAGCAGGACATTGAATATCCCTGTGAGCATAGTGAAGTTATTAATTACACTTTGGATGGTATATCAATACACCCAGTCACTACAGAGATACAGGCCAATGGTGATTTTAAAACAGTTACAGAGTTTAATAGCTGTGATATGAGAAAACTGAGGATGGATAAACAACATTGTAGTTACTCCACAACACTAACCTAAATGACAGAGTGAAGAGAAGGAAGCCTGTACAGAATAAAAAATTCCATAACATGCATCCTGTTTGCAACAAGGCACTTAAGGAATACTGTAAAAAATGTGGCAAAGAAATGAACTTTTTGTCCTGAATAAAAGAACGTCAGGTTTGGGGAAAATCCAACACAACACATCAATGAGTACCACTCTTCATATTTTCAAGCATGGTGGAGGCGGCATCATGTTATGGGTATGTTTGTCATCGGCAAGGGAGTTTTTTTTGGATAAAAATAAACGGAATACAGGTAGCTATAAGCACAGGCAAAATCCTAGAGGAAAACCTGGTTCAGTCTGCTTTCCAACAGACACTGGGAGACAAATGTACCTTTCAGTAGTACAATAACCTAAAACACAAGGCCAAATCTACACTGGAGTTGCTTAACAAGACGACATTGAATGTTCCTGAGTGGCCTAGTTACCGTTTTGACTTAAATCGTCTTGAATATCTATGGCAAGACATGAAAATGGCTGTCTAGCAATGATCAACAATCAACTTGACAGAGCTTGAAGAATTTGAAAAAATTATAATGGGCAATATTGTACAATCCAAGTGTGCAAAGCTCTTAGAGACACCCAAAAATACTCACAGCTGTAATCGCAGCCAAAGGTGCTTCTACAAAGTATTGACTCAGGGGTGTGAATACTTATGTATATTAAATATTTCTGTATTTCATTTTCAATACATTTGCAAAAAATTCTAAAAACATGTTTTCACTTTGTCATTATGGGGTATTGTGTGTAGATGGGTGAGAAAAACATATATTCAATACATTTTGAATTCAGGATGTAACACAACAAAATGTGGAATAAGTCAAGGGATATGAATACTTTTTAAAGGCACCGTATATGAGTTTCCACGTAGGTTATGAGAAAGAAGCAGCATTGAGATTCTCAGCTGACACCCATGCAAACATGTTCCCCTAAAAGCCATTTCAACTGATACAATCTAACACTGCACATTTCTGGTTGCCAAGGTGTCGAGAGATGAGCAGATATGGAGTTCAACACCACGAGGTCACTAGCGTTGCATCATGGAAATTTGAGGGACAGTAGATACAAGAGCATTGGTGTGAGCAACTAGTAGACAAACATCTTGGAACAGTATGGCTCCAACCACAAAGCTAGTCATTCTACTGGCTGTTCTAGACTGGACTTTCCTTGCAAGCCAAGAAACTAATCATATTCTTGAAGAAGATGACGTTTATTCATTCGAAAACAGCGTCAGAGGCGGACTACTGTGTGATCTTTAAATCCAATGGTGAAGAAAGCCTGCTGTTGCGGAACGCATCTAACCCTTCACTTAGTAATTACAAAATTAAAAAGCTTGTTCAATCAGACTCTGGACTGTACAGGGTGGAGTGCTGGACAGCTGGCAATATTTCACACCATCAACGTATTAGTCTCTCAGTTTGCAGTCATAATAGTAATGGAATATTCTGCCATTTAGGATGGACAGTAGAACTCCAATGTAAAGGTGCAAGTGGTGATGACAGCATGATGGTCCAATGGTACACACAGGAAAATTCAAGATACATTATCCGGAAGCCTCTCATGGAGGACCCAACTGGCAGAATCCAATTGATTGAGAATAACTCCTCTCTCCGCATTGCCAACTTCACCATGGAGGACATGGGCATTTACATTTGCACTGTAGAGAAAGGATATCATTGTAGCAGTAACCTGATAGTGACATATGTTAAGGAGCTGTATATACATGGCTTTGTGGGGGAGAGGGCTGTACTACCCTGCTTTAATACTGACTCAAATACGACAGAGACATGGTGAGACACCTACAAGAAGGAAAAAGGTATCACATCATTGCCGTCTCAAAACCATTCGAGTGACCACGCTGACCTCGCCGACCAAGGAAAGCAGATGCATATGGTGGATGTAAGAGAGACTGGGAATTACTCGCTGCTCATCCCATTCCTGATGCTGAACCACTCTGAGGTTTACTACTGTCTGAAGCATCAAAATCAAGTGAAGAATCTCATCCAAAGGTATATGCTAGTGGTCTGCCTAAAGTCTGACCAGTTCACACAGTTCTTCTCAGAGGGAGAGGAGGTTGCTCTCAGCTTTAACTCTACTTTTACTGAGTCTAACCGGCTTGAGTGGCTAATAAAGACTGCTGAAGGGGACGATGTCATACTGGTCTAATCTACTGGGACAAATCAGAAATGGAACCATATCTGAGGATCTGAATGGCCGAACAAATGCATCTCAACCTCATATCTCTCTGGTCCTCTCTAACCTGTCGCAGGAGGATAGTGAGGAGTACTATTGTTTTGTCATGTCTGAAGGGTTGAGATGAAGGGGTGTGTGTATCGATAACTAGGACCTTCTTCATTCACGAGGAGAAAGACCCCTTTGGCATCGACTACCTTCTTTCTATACAATGTGGTCTTCATTGATGGGCTGCGGTCTGCTGGGGATGGTCTGTGCTGTGATCTCTGTGAACCTGAAGACCAGGAGGAGAAGAGACCAGGCTTCTCAGAAGAGCAGGAGGATAGCAGCACAGCGAAGAGGAGAGTGATGGTATGTTGGGTGAGGAATGAATCAAAACTCTTAACATGTAAGGGTAATATCTATAAAACGTTATGTTTCTAACTATATAATGGATATTAGAGTCAATTTCCTTTGGATAATGTATATTTCCCTTTTTTCAGTTTTTGTCATTTCGTGTGGGAAGGGGTGCTGTTTTAGTTATTTTACAATTGTATTGTTTTATAATTGTATTGTTTTATAATTGTATTGTTTTATAATTGTATTGTTTTATAATTGTGCCATGTTGTTTGCTGTTTATGATATAAAAAAGAAGAACATTAGAAGTAAATCTTTATTATATTATTATTCTTTACTTATTGTTTGGTTGAATTTATTTCTTATTAGATTACATTATTGTTTCCCAATGTATCAACCTGCTCCCAAGGTCACTTCTCTAGAGCTCTCTGGAAGTGACAAAAATATGCTGTAAATGATAACCAGCTGTTTTCTGGTTCCTCTGCTTTTACCACAAATAAATAACAAGTCTAACTGAAATGTTATTGGTTTGTTATTTGTTTCTAAACTAAATCATTATACACCTGTCATGAGAGGGAAATATGATTTAATCAAAGTTATTCAGGAAGACTAATGGAATGGCTGTGGCTGTCTGTCTTCAAAGCCTGAGGCATTGTGACGTTGGGTGACTGCCATTGGATTGATGTATCACCATCACAACAAAGGGAATGACGTTTTGCCTTTCAGACTTAACAGAACGGAGAAAGAAGATTCCCTAGCAACATTAGAGGGGCAAGGGGGAAGTTATGACATTAGCATGTACTGTCTATTGTACCCTCAAACTTCAGCTGTGCATGCCTTTTATGGTATGCCTGTGTCCTTTAGTGTCTGTGTGAGCATGGTTAAGGGCTCAGACACACCGAAGGCATTTTCTGGCCGAGAGTACTTAGCACCTCTGAACGTAATTTGCGAACCAAGTGCGCACCGATTTTACATGCAGAATGCCGTCAGTCAGACGTCTACAGCGGGTGTCCCTAAAACACAGCCTGCTGAACGATCAGTAGACGAACGCTAGTTACACATTCGGTACGATGTGTGTGAACCTTAAGATGTGTTGTTTTACCATTAGTTTAGGGATCTCCCTTGACTTTCCCAGACAAGATTGAATTACGGTCTGACCAATTCTCTCTGAAGAAATATACAGTGACCCACAACATGCCCAATACAGATAAACCAGCCTCAACCAGACACAATATTGTGAAATTCATTAGGTTGAGGAATGCATCTGTAAAAGGGTGAGGAGACAAAGAAATTGTCTCTTTTTCTAAGGGCAACCTTGTTGCCCCAATTACGGATTCTGGGTACATGTTCACGTCTCTTAAAGTCTGGAAAAGTCTGTCCAGAGAATGGTAAAGTGGCCTGACCTTCCAGAGAATGGTCAAATGGCCTGACCTTCCAGAGAATGGTAAAATGGCCTGACCTTCCAGAGACTGGTAAAGTGGCCTGACCTTCCAGAGAATGGTAAAATGGCCTGACCTTCCAGAGAATGGTAAAATGGCCTGACCTTCCAGAGAATGGTAAAATGGCCTGACCTTCCAGAGAATGGTAAAATGGCCTGACCTTCCAGAGAATGGTAAAATGGCCTGACTGCTATTCAGTGTCCTTTTCCTGGCCTCCCTGACAGGGCCGGGATAGCCAGGGTAGATTGGACCTCTGTCAGAGCCTAGACCACAGGACAGCCTGAGAGATGGAAGACAAGGTTCGTCCATCAACCCTGGGGGAAATGTAGGGGTAATTGTGTTCTCCTCACCCTGAGAAAGACCTTGGGACATTATGTCAGAGAGAGCTGACAGGGATACAGAGGAGAGCCTGGTCAGGGGACAAGGGTTAGCCCTGTGGTTGGTTTTTATTCTTTAAACAAAGATTGGAACCATTTACACATTAGTCACATACACTTGAATCAAGCCCTTTGAATGGCGGCATAGACACAGAGAAGGGTACAAAGCAAACTGATTAAGAAACTGTATTTGACTAAGAAATTGTATTTGGCTCATTCCTAAGATCAATACAAACAAGAAACAACAACAAATACATTCCTCTAAAGTTCAAACTCAGGTAAATTTAATCTGGCAAAATCTGACACCCCCAGTCATAAGTCAAACTGATACTTATTAGAAGATTTACCTCTGAGCCTCACCTGGGTAATTTTAGGATTAGCTCTCAAAGTCAGGTGACCCAAACTGAGCAGTGAATTTACCGACTCAAAAGGGCTCCACCAAACCAAACCAAACCAAATCAAATATTGCTCACAAATGGCAGCATCTCCTTGAGACGTTACACTTTAAAGTCTCCTGTAAGCCATCTTTTGTACGTCCCATTGCCTCTTCAGTCAGCCGGTGATGTCATTAAGGACAGGCATACGAAAACCATTAGCGCTTCTGTCGCCCAGGGCGACCAGGCCGCTGTGGTTGGGGAGTGATAAAGCACTTCCATGTATTTAACCAACCAGCACCATCTAAGAACACAGCCAAACCACAACCTTTTACTCTGGACTTATAAGCTTTAATATTTGACAGTGTTATATCAAACAAAGCTGTTGAGCCAAGTTTACTGTGGATTAGGATTTGTATTGTGTATGAACATTGAGGCAGGTAGCTAAAGTAACATGGGCCAAAGAAATCTAAAAGACTAAGGAAATGATCTTTATCTCATTGACACACTGTTTGATTTTCAGCATATCAAAACAAAACATTTTTCATTTTCTGGGCTCTGGCTCATAGCGTACTGTGAGTGTTTTCCTTTTTTATGTCACGCTGCTGTGGGAGAGATCAGATAAGTGCGTTTATCTTATCATGTTAAATCAGCTTCTTTTTTTTAGCTAATGACCCAGAGCAAATATTTTCTCTTTAGTCTGAGCCATAGGCAGGGTACCTGATTTATTAAAACAATATAACTCTTTGGTGTAGGGATGTTTCTGTGATAGAGCCGATAGGGCAGGATGTTGTGGTTGTGCTCTAACTTGGCAAATGAAATATAGGAAACGTTAAGGGCATGCAGAAACCATCTTAATACTTACTCAATGTAAGTCTGCAATAATTGATTTGATTTTAATAGATTAAGCAATAACTAAGAGCACAAAACATTGCAACAGAGCCATCATGACGAGAACAAGTGTGTTCAGACAACTGATATAGACAGATATGTAATAGTAGAACACTGTTTTATACAGGTAACTCCCAAAATAAAGGAAACACTTGAGTAAATGAGGGATACAAAGTATATTGAAAGCAGGTGCTTCCACACAGGTGTGGTTCCTGAGTTAATTAAACAATAAACATCCCATCATGCTTAGGGTCATGAATAAAAATGCCCAGTTGCCCATTATTTTGGCTACCATGGCTAGAAGAAGAGATCTCAGTGACTTTGAAAGAGGGGCTCTCAAAGGAGCATAGGGGGTTTAAATGGTGTGTGTGTCTCAGTCACCAGATCTCAACCCAATTGAACACTTATGGGAGATTCTGGAGTGATGCCTGAGACAGTGTTTTCCAACACCAGCAACAAAACACCAAATGATGGAATTCCTCATGGAAGAATGGTGTCACATCCCTCCAATAGAGTTCCAGACACTTGTAGAATCTATGCCAAGGCGCATTGAAGCTGTTCTGGTTCATGGGGGCCCAACGCCCTATTAAGACACTTTATGTTGGTGTTTCCTTTATTTTGGCAGTTACCTGTAGGTTGTCAAAGCTATCAGAAAAAAATTGAATTTAAAAAGAAATCCTGCATTTTCTGAATGGTGGCATTCAAGCCTGAACTAATCTCTACAATCACACTGAGTGAACCACGTAGGGTCATCTGTTAAGGTAAAGTGCGTCAAGCCCCAAACGATAACAGCCCATCAGGGTTTGCCATTTGAATGCTAGTAAAACATGTTATTGACTGTGTTACAATAACTGTGAGTAGGATAACATGAGTATTGGCAACGCTCCACTGCAAACTGCAGAGGGAAATCATGAGGGATGGTTGGTTGGACAGGGGGAATTTAGAATATTACTTGTTTACATTCAACACCAGAATCAGTGCCTCTCAACTACACTTGTTCATTATGGCTCTCCTTTATACACATAAATAGTGTAATGCAATTTCTACTTTCAATTTGATGCCAGGAAAACCAACACCCACCTATTTATTGAGCTAAGCATCACAAAAAAATAAACACAAAACCCAACATATACAGGCTACGCAGAGTCACGGCCCCTTGTAACGCACTGCCTCCTGGCCCGCTGGACAATGGGCAGTGGTACTCTGTAGCAACGCTGGACTGCATTGACTTTCCTCCCAGAGATGTTATCATGGATTAAGGTCCCCAGTGTATTCAGGGAGAGACCAAAGAGAGAGGTGTACATAACAACCAGCAGCAACCCTGACCCATTTACTGTTTCCTGCTTCTGTCTGTCAACAGGGTAGACATTAGTAACTACTGTAGCAGGTAGACAGTCACATTCATGAAACATATTGACGGTGCAGTAAAATCACCGTAGACACACTAAAGAAAGCAACTATCAATAGAAGTATGATAGATCAAGTTCAACAGAAACTACAGGTCTGATGTGGTAAACACTAACTTGAAACCATTTTACATACTTAAACTTCATGCGAACCAGACACATTCTTGCATGACCTTACAGTATAAGCACTAGGGCAAAGGGCTTTCTTTGTCAGGAGTTTCTTTACCACAAATTCTTTCTTAGAACATTTATTTTGAAAATACCAGCATTCCAAAACTCACCAATTTGCAGTGAAGTGATTACCTAATTCCATTATTTTCCCAGATGGAATCACTTTCTCAGTAGCACATTAGGTCCTTAGAGGACTGTAGGTTCTAAAACAAGCCACAGAACTGATGAAGCAGATCATATGTGTTTCTGATAGTCACCAGACTAAACTCTGCCTGAACCTCTACAACTCTGGGGAATACAAAAGAATAGCTCCTATAAGAATGAGGAGAAAGCTAAAGGACACACACCGACAGGCATCCCATTGACATGGGGAGTGGGGACAAGGGTCTGGTTTTCAACCTATACGTCTCCACACAGAAGCCTGTGGACATCTTCTTTACCTCCATCGCTCTAGTTTTACATGTAACATGCTAAGGCTTCTGTGCTGGGAGGTGACACTGTGACCTTGCCAGCAAGTACCACTAGGACTTTGTAGGAGACAATTAGATAAGACTCTGACAGAAATGGAGAAGGATCGAGAAAGACAGAGGGTGACTACAACATAGTTTATCTACAGAGGTCAAATGGATAATCGAATTACAAAGGAATTGCCTACAAATTGAGATAAAAATTATCACTAGCTTAAAGCTTCCCACAAACTATGGGTGTTTGTATTTAAACCTTGACATGATTCTTGAAAATAAATGGCATGTTTCCCTGTGATGTCGGTCTTCGTCTGTTTTGAGATAAGCACTAGGAATTTCTTTAATAGAGCCTTCTCTTTGATTAATTCATTAATAATCTTAACATGCTATCTGAGATAAGCATCGATCCTTGGTCAGACAGAGAGCATTAAAAAAAGAGAAACATTTTAGTAAGTCATAACGATTAATGGGTGGTTGAGAAGGGCAACCTTTCAGTCAGGAAATTCATGGAGTGGAACTTCAATCACACCACCCTCTCTTAACCTCTGCCAGCTCGTCTGCCATAAGCTACACCTGTCATGAAAACCTCCATGCCTGCTGGCACGCGGTGCAAATAGAAGCTGTGGTCACTTGTTTGTATAAGGTTGGAATGTTCTCTTTTGTTTAACAGGTCTGAGGGCAGGGCTGATACACTGTTGGTTGGCAGTTGGCACAGCCGTAGAGGTTATCACTGTTGAAGGAGAAGAGGAGGAACCAACAGTCTCATTTAGGACTCATCTCCTTATTTATTTACCTGTGTAGTATTTTTCACTCTCTTTATCCATTCCACAACACGCCCAGGATGAATCTCACTCTGAGGTGACAGGCTAAAGGGCAAAGCATCACACTCCAGCCCTTAATGCATTTGAGAGTCGTTACATTTCCCCAACCCTCTCCCTTTTCGTTTTTCACCAAAACAAGTGGCAGGTCGGGGCAACCGATCACAGACTCAGGATTGTGGCTTTAAATGCAAATGCATAGGAAAGGGAGTGTGTCTGGGAGTGCTTAAGTTTAATTAGCCAGGAAGTTTTTGTGTTTGTGTGCCTGATGTTAGAGAGGTCAATGAGGAAGTAATGAACCAAAGCAGCACTTCCTCCTTGTAAGATCCCTCTCAGGGTTGTGGATATTGGAGGAGGGAAACATTAACACCACTCATAAACCCCATTTATCATACTGTACAACGGCACTGCTTCAACTGGATATTGGAGGACGGAAAACAAACCCCATTCATCACACAACGCAACTGCTGCAAACCTGGTTTGACCTCTTCACGTGTGATTCTCACCGAATCAAACTGGTTCTTACAACTAGCATGTTTATCAGCCTTTACCAACGTCTATAACCTTTGTGAAATGTACAGTTGAAGTCGGAAGTTTACATACACCTTAGCCAAATACATTTAAACTCAGTTTTTCACAATTCCTGACATTTAATCCTAGTAAACATTCCCTGTCTTAGGTCAGTTAGGATCACCACTTTATTTTAAGAATGTGAAATGTCAGAATAATAGTAGAGAGAATGATTTATTTCAGCTTTTATTTCTTTCATCACATTCCCAGTGGGTCAGAAGTTTACATACACTCAATTAGTATTTGGCAGCATTGCCTTTAAATTATTTAACATGGGTCAAACGTTTCAGGTAGCCTTCCACAAGCTTCCCACAATAAGTTGGGTGAATTTTTGGCCCATTCCTCTTGACAGAGCTGGTGTAACTGAGTCAGGTTTGTAGGCCTCCTTGCTCGCACACGCTTTTTCAGTTCAGCCCACAAATGTTGTATAGGATTGAGGTCAGGGCTTTGTGATGGCCACTCCAATACCTTGACTTTGTTGTCCTTAAGCCATTTTGCCACAACTTTGGAAGTATGCTTGGGGTCATTGTCCATTTGGAAGACCCATTTGTGACCAAGCTTTAATTTCCTGACTGATGTCTTGAGATGTTGCTTCAATATATCCACATAATTTTCCTTCCTCATGATGTCATCTATTTTGTGAAGTGCACCAGTCCCTCCTGCAGCAAAGCACCCCCACAGCATGATGCTGCCACCCCCGTGCTTCACGGTTGGGATGGTGTTCTTCGGCTTGCAAGCCACCCCCTTTTTCCTCCAAACATAACGATGGTCATTATGGCCAAACAATTCTATTTTTGTTTCATCAGACCAGAGGACATTTCTCCAAAAAGTACGATCTTTGTCCCCATGTGCAGTTGCAAATCATAGTCTGGCTTTTTTTAATGGCGGTTTTGGAGTAGTGGCTTCTTCCATGCTGAGCGGCCTTTCAGGTCATGTCGATATAGGACTCGTTTTACTGTGGATATAGATACTTTTGTACCTGTTACCTCCAGCATCTTCACAAGATCCTTTGCTGTTGTTCTGGGATTGATTTGCACTTTTCGCACCAAAGTATGTTCATCTCTAGGAGACAGAACGCGTCTCCTTCCTGAGCGGTATGACGGCTGCGTGGTCCCATGGTGTTTATACTTGCGTACTATTGTTTGTACAGATAAACGTGGTACCTTCAGGCGTTTGGAAATTGCTCCCAAGGATGAACCAGACTTGTGGAGGTCTACAATATTATTTCTGAGGTCTTGGCTGATTTCTTTTGATTTTCCCATGATGTCAAGCAAAGAGGCACTGAGTTTGAAGGTAGGCCTTGAAATACATACACAGGTACACCTCCAATTGACTCAAATTATGTAAATTAGCCTATCAGAAGCTTGACATCATCATGACATCATTTTCTGGAATTTTCCAAGCTGTTTAAAGGCACAGTCAACTTAGTGTATGTAAACTTCTGACCAACTGGAATTGTGATACAGTGAATTATAAGTGAAATAATATGTCTGTAAACAATTGTTGGAAAAATTACTTGTGTCATGCACAAAGTAGATGTCCTAACCGACTTGCCAAAACTATAGTTTGTTAACAAGACATTTGTGGAGTGGTTGAAAAACGAGTTTTAATGACTCTAAGCTAAGTGTACGTAAACTTCCGACTTCAACTGTATTCTCTAGCTACCACTTAGTTGTAGATCCACATACTGTAAGAAACAGAATTACATTTGCCTTGCCTCTGTACAACTGGATGCATAGTAAACCCTGTCATCTCGAGGGAGGATGACACAATGTCATCCCATCCCATTCTCCTTTCAGGTCAGTTGCCAAAGTCAGACCTAATGTTAATATTACTCTATATAAAAATCAAAACCCCAACCCAAAACGTTTGGGTTCAGAGCCTGAGCCTTCTTGTGGGTGAGAGCAGCAGAGCCCCTCTCTGTACCGCTGCCAGCAGGGTAAGGCAACCTGTGGACCGCAACACCATCTCCTGGGCTGAGCAGCGACCTGTGAACTGTGGTTCCTCCCTTCTGACTGAGCGGCAGAAATGCAAATCACCAGCAGTCTTGTGACTCTGAGAACTGGTCTGATCAGATTCAGAAAGGGAGGGAGGGAGGGAGGGAAGGAGGGGGAGTGAGTGAGGGAGAGAGAGGGGGAGGGAGGGGAGAGTGAGTGAGGGAGGGAGAAAGAGAGAGAGGGAGGGAGGGGAGAGTGAGTGAGGGAGAGAGGGAGGGGAGAGTGAATGAGGGAGAGAGGGAGGGAGGGAGGGGAGAGTGAGTGAGTGAGTGAGTGAGTGAGTGAGGGAGAAAGAGAGAGAGGGAGGGAGGGGCGAGTGAGGTGAGGGAGAGAGGGAGGGGAGAGTGAATGAGGGAGAGAGGGAGGGGAGAGTGGTGCGGTAGTTACTGCAAGCTTTTCTTCCTGTGCTGTGTGCCTTTTCCAGTACATTTCAACCGCGTTGGACCTAGGCAGCAGAAGGGGATAAAATATTATCAAAGTTATTATTATAGCATAATAAGCTACAGTATATGGTACAGTAGGAGGGGTTTGCCTGAACTTGCCTTCTCTGCTGAAAATAAGCTCAACAAATCTATACAGTATGAAGACCTTGTGTCCCTTAACAAATCCAATTATGCCATTCTCTCAGAACGATTCAGAGTAACAAAGTAAAGCTGATTAAACGCAGGGCTGACAACTGCAGTCGAGACAAACCCCCATTGATCCAAAAGAGCCAGAACGAGACGGGACAATGCTTCACCAACGGACCATCCGCTCTTGTCATTTGCCATATGGCAGCAGCCAACGATGCCCCTGGCCCTCTGGTAGCCTACCCACAAAACCTTGGGTTGCATCCCAAATGGCACCCTATTCCCTATTATAGTGCACTACTTTTGACCAGGGCTTATAGGGCTCTGGTCAAAAGTAGTGCACTATATAGGGAATAGGGTGCCATTTGGGAGGCACACTGGGACTGGGGAGTCGGAGTCAGATTGGATCAGAATCGCTGGCTAATTGAAATCCTACATGCGACCAGCACAACCCTAATCCAGCAGTTTTCTTTTGAAGTGCTCCAAGTCAGCTGTATAACTTTTTAATCCCCATCTCGACCGCTTGGCGCATTCGAAGATCCAGAGGATTAGCCATGTAGCTGGTATTCACGGAGGGAACAGGCTGCTGGCTTGAGCCTACAAATGCCATGGCCAGGGAAAAAGGGTGTCCACTCTACAATAATAAAGCAGTGGAATGTTGCTTTTTTTTTGTCCCCTGCCTTGGCTTTACCATGACACGGGATCTGCCTATGTCCTCCTTTTAAACCAGACTGCAGTCACATGATGATAGACCCGAGCTATGAGATGTGCAGATTTACCACAGTAGGGTGAAACTGTCTGGGACTGTAATACAAGAGTATCTGAAAAGAGACACTTGATCAAATGAAGAATTAATTAGGATTGTATGGCTCAACAGTTTGGGTATATAGTCATTATAGTCAATGCTGGTCCGACGAATCCCAGTTCCTGTTGTCAGGATTTGGCATAAGCAGCATGAGTCCATGGCCCCATCCAGCTTGGTGTCAACGGTACAGGCTAGTGGCGGTGGTTTAATGGTGTGGGGAATGTTTTCCTGGCACACGTTAGGTCCCTTGATACCAATTGAGCAACGTTTCCATGCCCCGAAGAATTCAGGCTGTTCTGTAGGCAAAGGTGCGTCCGACCCGGTACTAGATGGGTGTACCTAATAAACTGGCCACTGAGTGTATGTTTCACTGTATGTGCCATTCAATTGCTAGTGAGTAGGCTGAGGCTAGTGAGTAGGCTGAGGCTAGTGAGTAGGCTGAGGCTAGTGAGTAGGCTGAGGCTAGTGAGTAGGCTGAGGCTAGTGAGTAGGCTGAGGCTAGTGAGTTATATACTTTAGAAGATAGGACACCACTCCATTTAAAGGAGCAGGGAACTTTCAACTGTGTCCTGGAGTTATAGTATTGGGGCCTTATAGAAAATAAGGGACTGCTCCAAGTGCAACGTGATCAAAGCTTCATTTACTTTTAACTCTATCCCATTAAAATACGATCAGTATGCATTCAAGTATTTAGGCCTACATAAATCACATTAACTCAAACGCTGTCGTGACATCACACAACAAATACCAGGCGAGCAATCCTCTTAATCACAGGGTCATTTCCCAAATGTCTAAATAATTACCTTTATCCCAACGTTCTGTGTTTTCTGGCCTGTAGCTGTAGCTTTTTTTCTCAAACAAAGCTTGTAAATTTGCCTGCATTTCTTCAGGGCAAAACATGTCATTCTGTGTCGAGTCCAAGTAAAAATAAAATGTGGGTGTCCTTTAGTATTGAATCATGTCTATGGCCTACACATAATCTATGAATATGAAAACAGTACATGTAATATGATCATTAAAAAAAAAACTTTAATTTCAAAGCAAATATGAGCAGGATTAAACAAAGTTGTATAGGAATGTGAACATTGATCATAACAACAAAACAGAAGCCGCCATAATACCTCACCTGTGACTGTGACTGGGGTAAATTGGGGATCAGAGGGGCTGAGGGGGGGTAATATACCCCGTAACAGCTGTAGAGGGTTCGGACTCAGAGAGAGGGGCTGAGGGGGGGGGGTAATGTACCCCGTAACAGCTGTAGAGGGTTCGGACTCAGAGAGAGGGGCTGCAGGGGTGGACCTGATCCCTGTGTACTTGAGGACAACATGAAGCCATGGGTCCAGCTGAAAATCAACATGGGAGCTATTTGAGATTTATCCAGGGCGGCACGTAGCTTAGTGGTTAAGAGCGTTGTGCCAGTAACAGAAAGGTCGCTGGTTCTAATCCCCGAGCCGACTAGGTGAAAATCTGTCAATGTACCCTTGAGCAAGGCACTTAACCCTAATTGCTCTGGATAAGAGCGTCTGCTAAATGACTAAAAATGTAAATGTATCCCTTTTGTTTTAATAGGACGGGACAAACCTCCCGGCTCAGTGACAAAGTAATTTCACACCACGTGTGCAGGGAACGGACTGGTGACTTTAAAGGTTTAATTAGGAGCCTCCTCTTTGGTGTTCTCCAGGAGGATGGGTACAGTACAGCTTTTCAGTTTCAGCAAGCTGAACAACTATAAAACTGAACTGGTTCTTATTTTGTTTGAAGTTGATTGAACATTGGAGGCCAAGAGTGCTGAGGTTGGGCCTGCAGTAACGAGACAGAGGACAAGACCCATATAAACCACACGTCAATTGTCTATAAAAGACAGGAAGGCTGAATCTTTCCAACCAGAACTCAACAAATCTCCGGTTCTCCGATTTACTCCCTAGCAGCCCATGGAAGTGACCCTGTCTGAAGTTACAGGAGACCTTACGTGTCTGATCTTTTAGGTCTGCTCGCCTTGTGACGATCTGAGCTCCAAGAGAACTCATTTCTCTCCGTAAATATGAGTGGTTTAGGACCACATTTTTGTTCTTTCTTCCCAACAACAAAGTCTGTCAAAAAAGCACACAATTAGACACGGTGCATATGCTTTAAACGCTATGTTCTGTAAAGGCCTGACTTCAAAGTCAGAATGACTGGCCGCTTTGTTTTGATGAAAATTACCATGTAACCTGAGGAAAATTGGACTGATCGATTCACAGTCAGAAAATATAGCTTCAAGCGCTCAATTGAAGATGGGCTTAAATCTTAGAGACAAAATCCCTTAAAATGTTACATTTCACTATTGGAAATGCTCAGGTCATGGAAGGGAATTATTATTTTACTCCAGGGAGGAACAACTGTGATTACTGTAGTATATCCAAGCTTAGGAATTCAATAAACAGAATGTAAAACAGAAAATTACTTTATAGAAAGGAAATGAATGATCCTCTCATTTATTTGACTCAGTTTTATTGCTTGCTTGCCCTTTGCATGCCAGAAAAATGTGTAACGTTGCAGAAAAAAAAGCATGGATACTACTACTACTACTACTACTACTACTACTACTACTACTCCTCCTCCTCCTCCTCCAAAGCATTAATTATGCATAAGACACCATCCAATCACATTCATGGCATAAAAGTGCGGAACTTCAAAGAAATAACATCAAACGACATATCTCAAGAGACGTGCTTGTATCTCTGGTTGTAGATGGAAGAACCGTGCCCCTTTACGCTCTGTTTCATTCAAAGGGTTGAGCAGGGTGACGGACTTGGCTGCATACTGAAATGGAGGTTAATCAGTGCTTCTTCATACTTCACTGCAATGCAAATGAACATCGCTACACAGCATGATACCACCCAGATATCAAAATACAGAAAATTCACATCTGTTGAATATTTAGGATATGCCACTCGGTTGCTACGGCAGAATATGGTAATCAAGCACTTAACCCCAATATACCAGGACAAAAAGAGACAGCAGGTTCACCCCAGGATGGAAGCCTCTTTCAGGCACACAGTGGTGTGAGGGGGGTGGCGTGGACAAATCTGTTCACTAAACCATTCGGAAAGACACCAAGGGGTCGTAATTAGAATCAAAATCTGAAACTGAACTGGATTCTACAAGGACACACCCCTCTGCAGCCATGGAAAATCCAAGGGAAATCCTGCCAGTGGTTTTCTATGAACTAATATACTGACTACACCGGCCACGCGCGTGCGTCCGCCATCGTGTCATGTTGACGCGATCATGACACGCCGGTTAAAATACCAAAATCAACTGTGAATCAATTATATTAATTTCGGGGCAGGTCGAAACACACATGAAACATTCATGTTGCTTGCTAGTTTGTCCTGGAAGATGAACATTGTTATTTTACCTGACATGCATACAGTATGGTCCTCTTTGTATCTGGTTCTTTGTAGTCATACAAAATCATGTGTTTCTCTTCTCTGACAATTAATCCACAGATTAAAAAAAAATAAACCTAGTTAGTTTTTAGTTAATCTTTAATTATAAACTGGGTGGTTCAAGCCCTGAATGCTGATTGGCTGACAGCCGTGGTATATAAGGGATATGACAAAACATGTATTTGTACTGCTCTAATTACCTTGGTAACCAGTTTATAATAGTAATAAGTCACCTCGGGGGTTTGTGGTATATGGCCAATGTACCACGGCTAAGGGGCTAAGGGCTGTGTCCAGGTACTTGGTTTTAGAAGTGGGCGGGGGGCCTAATTTGTTTTTTAAAAACACTCCGACCGCTCGGAGGCATCCGCATGGTCCTAAAGCACACCGTTGCCCCGTTTGGTATCACATTCCAATGATAAAACTGCAATTTCAGAATGTGCGGGGGACCTTTTCACCCCCGTCCCCAGTGAAAGTTGCGCCCCTGGTCAAAATATGTGTTTTGATTGGACACTCCATTAATTATTCTCTCCTCGTTTGTCTTTCACGTATCCACGTGAGTTTGTATCTTCCTGATATCCAATAAGAAGGGACTTGCAGCGCGCAAAGCATCTCAAATAGAACCAGGTTGGGTACACAGATGCTCGTTCACTCACGCGAGCGGTATGGGCGAAATGACTGAATAACATGTTTGTGTAAATGTATTTTGCATGTAACTCTACAATAAAAGGTCTCCCTAGGAGAAAAATAATTGGTTATAGGCCTAACGGTTATTCCTTGAAAACCAGAGTTCAAATCCCTCTCTCATCACTGGGCCCGAGACATGAGTGCACACTGCACACCCATGCCCTTATGATTCCACTAGAGGTTAGAAGGGTTTCTGATTCTGACAGCTCAGCGGTGCCCTGGCAGTATGGAGCGTTGGAGCAGTGACCGAACATAAAGATCTGGTAGTAAAAGTCATCCATGCGTTTAAGCTTCCACAAACTTTGCTGAATAATTCACAGAGAGCAACATTATCAGTATGTCAGACTACAGGAACATCTAGAGGGAACCACATCATCTACAATAACCCTTGTTTAACATGCGTAGCCTACAGATTACAATTAAAGTACTGTCCTCAAAAATACAGTAACAGTATGCATAATTTGGTTTAAAAAAATCTAAAGAGCCTTCTTAAACCTGATTGGACAAATTTGTGAATGATCTGAGTATTACAGATGCCCTGGAGGAAAACCTAGGCCTAGCTATGGACCAGGCCATCTCATCTCTGACCCGGATCCTGTTGACAGCCTCTCCTCAGTGACACTCGGACTGGAGAGTAGAGAGTACCCTACACTACACGCCTCTGAGGTAATGGAGACAGAAAGCCTCTCTCTCTCTCTCTGCCCACAGGCTGGCTGAAGGGTTAATACTGGTTTGAACTGGTTTAAATATCACTATCATAGATCGGAACTCGGAACTCGGATCTCGCCCACCACTAACCTCCGCTATGAGCTGTGACCCAATTGAACATCATGGCGATGACAAGTGTGCGACTTTGATTTGCGAGGACTGTGCGAGGGCAGCTGAGAAGTTCCTGAGTCTCCTTGTGGCGTATTTCTGTATAATGTCTTTAACAGTCCAGAGAGAGAGAGTGAGAGACAGAGAGAGAGAGAGCAGGAGAGAGAGAGAGAGACAGAGACAGATCCTGACCAAATACAGGCGTGTGTGTGTGTGTGTGTGTGTGTGTGTGTGTGTGTGTGTGTGTGTGTGTGTGTGTGTGGCTTTAGAAAAAGGGAGATACAGAAAGACATGGCTACCCAAAGAGGAGGGTCTATGTGGTCACTGCACGACAGCGGAGGTAGAGACAGAGATGCACTTTTTCCTCTAATGTGAGAAATACTCCCAAATAAGATAATCCTTTTTCAAGAAAATATCTCAAACAATTCCCAACTTCTGTGCATTTACTAATGACATAAAGCTGGGAATTATTCTGCGTGAGGGAGGAACCGCAAATATTACTGCCGATATGTATATGATTGCCATAGCCTGAGGGACATCCCATGACCATTAATTCACTGAAGTATTTACATTGTATATAACATCCAAGTAATACATAATGTAATCATCATCCATGTACATTTAGTTGTTTATTTATTAGACATTCTTTCTTTGTCTTTTTATAATCTTATTTTTCTTTAATTACATTTATCGAGCGAAGATTACATAATACAACAGCAGTAGTGTTGTACCTGTATCCATGATTATATGTACTATTATTATTACTACTGAAATGAACTGGATTTCATTATCCTCATTGCATTGCACTGTATTTACTGAAATGCTGTTTACACTATACTGCTTTGGCAATATCTACAAATGGAATTTCATGCCAATTAAGCAATCTGAATTTGAATTCAAGAGAGGGAGAGAAGGAGAAAGCAGAGAGAGAGGGAAAGAGAACAAGAGAGAGAAGGAGAAAGCGAGACAGAGAAGATGAGAGAGGCGAGAGAGACGAGAGGAGAGAGAGAAGAGAGAGAAGCATGAGAGAGAGAAGAGAGTGAGACAATGAGAGACCCTTGAGAGGAAGAGAGACCCGGAGTAGAGTGAGGAGGGCTGAGAGAGAAGAGAAGAGAGACGACGAGCGAGGAGAGGAGAGCGAGGAGGATAGAGAGAGAGAGAGAGAAGGGAGGGAGAGAGAGAGAGAGAGAGAAGAGAGAAAGAGAGAGAGAAGAAAGAGAGGAGAGGAGAGAGAGAGAGAGAGAGAGAGAGAAGAGAGAGAGAGAGAGAGAGAGAGAAGAGAGGGAGAGAGAGAGAGAGAGGTGTGCGGAAAGCTGAGAGAGAGAGAGAGAGAGAGAGAGAGAGCCCTATCACCATTCTCCTGTTTATTCTCCAACAACATCTTGTTACTGAGGCTAAATTACTGCAGCTAACTCAAATACTGTAAACGGTACGGAGAACCAATTTACCACTGAGAAAACAGCCGACACCGCATTCTAGCAAGACCAACACAGAGTTGAAAGCACTTACAGTATACTTTAACAGGCCTCATTTATCATCTGTTTGAATGCAAAAAGGGACGGACCAAGGACATCAGGCACGTTACACAAGCCATCCATCAACCTGGCAGGGAGGCTCAGCAGCAGGTCTGTCTGTCCCAGGACATGACTGAGGGTTCCTATAGCAGCCCATTACCATCCTCCACCAGCACCATACCTGCATCTTCCAGCCAGGTAACATCCCCCATCCCCCATACTCTGTTAGGAGCCACCGAGGATAACGTGTAGACAGCCTGCATCCTGTCTCCACATCCTTGTTATTAAGGACATCTCCAATTACACCCGGGGGTGTCTTCCCGTCCCCCATCACACCGCTACCTACAACTACATCCCCCCAGGTGACACATCTCTATGCCTAGGTTGGACAGAGGATTAGGGTGGATAGAGGAATAGGGTGGATAGAGGAATAGGGTGGATAGAGGACTAGGGTGGACAGAGGATAGGGTGGATAGAGGAATAGGGTGGATAGAGGAATAGGGTGGATAGAGGAATAGGGTGAATAGAGGAAAAGGGTGGATAGAGATATAGGGTGGATAGAGGAATAGGGTGGATAGAGGAATAGGGTGGATAGAGGAATAGGGTGGATAGAGAAATAGGGTGGATAGAGGAATAGGGTGGATAGAGGAATAGGGTGGATAGTTTAATAGGGTGGATAGAGGAATAGGGTGGATAGAGGAATAGGGTGGATAGAGGAATAGGGTGGATAGTTTAATAGGGTGGATAGAGGAATAGGGTGGATAGAGGAATAGGGTGGATAGAGGAATAGGGTGGATAGAGGAATAGGGTGGATAGAGGAATAGGGTGGATAGTTGAATAGGGTGGATAGAGGAATAGGGTGGATAGAGGTATAGGGTGGATAGAGGAATAGGGTGGATAGAGGAATAGGGTGAATAGAGGAGTAGGGTGGATAGAGGAATAGGGTGGATAGAGGAATAGGGTGGATAGAGGTATAGGGTGGATAGAGGAATAGGGTGGATAAGGAATAGGGTGAATAGAGGAATAGGGTGGATAGAGGAATAGGGTGACAGTCCATTTCTCAACCGTGTCAGGGTATACGTGGTCAATCCATCACACAGCAGGGTGGGTCGGACCGTAGATCTATCCATCAATGATACAGAGGTAATGCAATGTTAATACACATTTTAATGGTGCACACATTAAGTTGCAGGGACGGGTATATTAAATAGACACACAATTAATATTTTCTGAGTGAATTTATAAATGGCTGTTACAGTAAGTGCACATCAGTAAATTCAATCAATATAAAACATTTTGATCGTAGCTATAAAATCTTGCTGCATTTATTGATTCAATCATGTACACTAACCTAAATAGAATGCTATTACACTCCTCTCATCGTTCATTTGAAATACTTGCATTCCTGAAAGAACACTCAAAAATGAAACAAGGTCTCCACACATTTGTGTTTCTCAGTCATGATTTCCAAACGGAATATTCATCTCAAGCATGTGAGCAGCTCTTCCCAGCTCTAGCAGGCTATGATTTGGGTTGAGAGCGTGGCGGCCAGCCCATACATCCACCCCCCAGGCCCAGGCATCAGCCTAGTGCTGCAGAGCACAGCCAGCCCACAGAAAAACACAGTGTGCGTCCCAAATGCCACCATATTCCCTACATAGTGCACTACTTTTGACCAGGGCCACATGATAACATACACATTATGCACACACACGTACACATGGATTTTGTGGTAGTAGAGTAGTGGCCTGAAGGCAGACACTTAATGTGTTGTGTATTCTGTTATGTTGTATAACTGCCTTAATTTTGCTGGACCCCAGGAAGAGTAGCTGCTGCCTTGGCAGGAACTAATGGGGATCCATAATAAATACACATACAAATACAAAATGAGTGCACTATAAAGGGAATAGGGGACATTTGGGACGCATCCACAGTTTACTGGAGGACCTTTCATCTCAAAAACGAATTAGTCATCCTCTATAGTTTTGCCGATGGCCTCCCAACAAAAGCATGCAGAGCCCCAACTCACAAGCCACACAATTACCAACTCACAAGCCACACTGAATTAAACCCACTTATCCTCTTATTCTGATCACATATCAGTTCATATACTCCTCTTATTCTGATCACATATCAGTTCATATACTCCTCTATTCTGATCACATATCAGTTCATATACTCCTCTATTCTGATCACATATCAGTTCATATACTCCTCTTATTCTGATCACATATCAGTTCATATACTCCTCTATTCTGATCACATATCAGTTCATATACTCCTCTATTCTGATCACATATCAGTTCATATACTCCTCTATTCTGATCACATATCAGTTCATATACTCCTCTATTCTGATCACATATCAGTTCATATACTCCTCTATTCTGATCACATATCAGTTCATATACTCCTCTTATTCTGATCACATATCAGTTCATATACTCCTCTATTCTGATCACATATCAGTTCATATACTCCTCTATTCTGATCACACACAGCATATGCATCAGTTCATAAGTAAGGTCGTCGTCAGTGATGTTGTGCTAGGGATTTCAACTAGTGGCACAGATTGGCAAGAAGGGCTTTTTCAATTTTTTTCCTTCTATGTATCTGTGTCCTTATCTAACCGTTGACACAGATGAAACCTCAAGGAAAAATAGTTTAAAAAATAATAATAAAAGAGAAAACACTGTGAATGCCTTATAGCATAGGGATCCATAATGGGTGATAACTAGCTCTATGCTACAGTAGGAGGGCAAGAAGATCTCATTGTTTCCCTTTGAAATTCAATGTATTTTGGATGAACGTCTATTTTTGACGCATTAATTCCGCTTGTTTACAGGGTTAATTCCAAGTGCTTACAGGGTTAAAACAGAAACAACTCAAAGGTTAACAGTTTAGGCATTAATTCAGAGTGGTTAAGGTTAGGGCTATGGTTTGGGGAAGGCTTTAAAAAATATATATAAAAAATGACTCGCTATTACCATCAAGTATCATCAAGTATTCTCACGGCTTGCTAGATCATTGTGAACTTCAGTGGCTCAGTTGTCTGAGCAGCGAGCTTCGGCTCCGAGCATCACATGCTCGTGCCCAGTGCTGGTCAATCATTTTCCTTTTTTTGTTGTGAGCGCAGAGCAAGGCATATATCGACGTTCTCAGGACCTTTTCAAACATCCAAAATCAAAGTTTATTTGTAGTGATCAGGCTGAGGAGGGACCCTCTGGTCGTCAACAGTCCTTTTTCTCTGACCACCAGATTTGAGTGGCACTCATGCATGGCATAAATGGGTACAGAGATTTCCTAGCAAGTGATTGAGCAAGCTCGACACGAGATACTAAGCTACAGTATGAGTACAGAGGGGAGCAGCCTAGCAGAGGAGCAGGGGAGCAGCCAGCGGGGAGAGCCTAGCAGAGGAGTATAGAGGGAGAAGCCTAGCAGAAGGACGAAGCAGCCTACAGGAGGAGCAGAGGGAGCAGCCTAGCAGGAGGGAGCAGGTAGGAGCAGCCTAGCAGGAGGGAGCAGCCGAGCAGCAGGGAGCAGCCTAGCAGGAGGGAGTAGGAGGGAGCAGCCTAGCAGGAGGGAGCAGACGGGAGCAGCCTAGCAGGGGGAGAGGGGGAGCAGCCTAGCAGGAGGAGTAGGAGGGAGCAGCCTAGCAGGAGGGAGCAGAGGAGCAGCCTAGCAAGGGAGGGAGCAGCAAGGGAGCAGCCTAGCAGGAGGGAGCAGGAGGAGCAGCCTAGCAGGAGTAGGAGGAGCAGCCTAGCAGGAGGGAGCAGAGGGAGCAGCCTAGCAGGAGGGAGCAGCCTAGCAGGAGGGAGCAGGAGGGAGCAGCAGCTAGCAGGAGGGAGCAGCAGCTAGCAGGAGGGAGCAAGAGGAGGGAGCAGCCTAGCAGGAAGGGGAGAGCTAGGAGGGAGAGCCTAGCAGAGGGAGCAGAAGGAGCAGAGAGAGGAGGGAGCAGCCTAGCAGGAGGGAGCAGAGGGAGCAGCCTAGCAGGAGGGAGCAGCCTAGCAGGAGGGGAGGAGGGAGCAGCAGCAGGGAGCAGCCTAGCAGGAGGGAGAGGGAGCAGCCTAGCAGGAGGGAGCAGAGGGAGCAGCCTAGGAGGAGCAGCCTAGAGGAGGGTAGGAGGGAGCAGCCTAGCAGGAGGGAGCAGCCTAGCAGGAGGGAGTAGCAGAGGGGAGCAGCCTAGCAGGAGGGAGCAGAAGGGAGCAGCCTAGCAGGAGGGAGCAGCCTAGCAGGAGGGAGCAGGAGGGAGCAGCCTAGCAGGAGGGAGCAGCCTAGCAGGAGGGAGCAGAAGGGAGCAGCCTAGCAGGAGGGAGCAGAAGGGAGCAGCCTAGCAGGAGGAGCAGGCAGTAGCAGGGGGACAGGAGGGAGCAGCCTAGCAGGAGGGAGCAGCCGAGCAGAGGGAGCAGCCTAGCAGGAGGGAGTAGGAGGGAGCAGCCTAGCAGGAGGGAGCAGAAGGGAGCAGCCTAGCAGGAGGGAGTAGGAGGGAGCAGCCTAGCAGGAGAGTAGGAGGAGCAGCCTAGCAGGAGGGAGCAGAGGGAGCAGCCTAGCAGGAGAGAGGAGCACTAAGGAGGGAGGGGAGCAGCCTAGCAGGAGGGAGAGGAGGGAGCAGCCTAGCAGGAGGGACAGGAGGGAGCAGCCTAGCAGGAGGGAGTAGAGAAGGGAGGGACAGCCTAGCGGGGGAGGGGAGGAGAGCCTAGCAGGAGGGAACAGGAGGGAGCAGCCTAGCAGGAGGGAGTAGGAGGGAGCAGCCTAGCAGGAGGGGCAGGCTAGCAGGAGGGAACAGGAGGACTAGCAGGAGGGGGAGATAGGTCCAGCAACCTCTGACTATTGAGCAGAATATGGAGCAACGAGAGAGACCACTCCCAAACAGATGCACTAAAATCCACATAGCAACAGCAGCACCCCCCCCCCCCCCCCCCCCCCCCCCCCCCCCCCCCCCTGTGAACAAAGCACAACCCCAAAACCTCTGGCCTCCATAGATGCATCTGTCTGAAGGTAGGGAAAACACTATACATGGACAAGACAAAGCTGTGGGAGCCTCCATGCACATGTTAGTCTACATTAACATCCATTGCAATATTGGGTTCCTTTTCCACAGTGGATCAGGTCCCTGTAATCCTGACCAAATGTGTGAAATTGAACCTGCATGCATGGCATAGCACTGCATACAGATGGTGGTATGTATTTAGTACAATCTGACAGGGGTGTGTTCTGTTCCAAATGGAGCTCATGGTTTCTACTCCTTGAATACACCAACCTC